TTGACTTGTGGAGTCTCCACCAATTTTTTTTGTTTGGGTGCGATTGACCACCTAACTGAATCTGTCCATTTTTAAAGAAAAGTTTTAAATTTGACTTAGGTATCTTTAAAAGGTAGATTCAATGTCTGCGAAAACAAAACTAGGTTCGAAGAGTTCGGTTACGCGTGAGAAATGTTATAGCACCCTCACAGCGTCCATTGAAAGATGGTACCTGCTCGATTTCGCATTATCCATTAAGTCTAAAATTTTATCAAGTAATTAGTTATTGAAAATTATTCTTAATTGACTCTAATACTTTTGGTCAAAAATTAAGAAAATTTTCTCACATCAAGAGTATACAAGAAAATTATTGTTTTTTTTATAGTAGCTTCATTGTCGGATTAACATAAAAAAATTTCAAGAAAAGAAAAAGACAAAAGGAAAAAGGAATGATGATTCGACTTTTGATATAGATCATTTTTTTGTTTTATAAGAAAAAAACTCATGCTTTTATACAATAAAAATTGATACTTTCAACTTTTTCTTAAAAATATTTTTTGAAAATTTTTATTTTCAAGGAAAATTGATACTTTCAACTTTCTCTCAAAAATATTTTTTTTAATTTTTATGTTCAAAAGAAATTGGTACATTCAACTTTCCTTCAAAAATAAATTTTTTTCATATTTTCATTTTAAAGATATCATTGAAAATTAAAGAATGTTTAATTAAATAAATAATTTATTTTAATTTAGTTAATAAATAAGGGAAAAATAATAATCAATAAATAAATAATAAAACTAAATGAAAAAAAAAACATTTGGTGCGACTCGGCTCAACGATTGAAATGATTTGGCTTGAGACATAAGAGGAGGCTGGAAAGTAAGTCAGAAGCGGGTTAACGTTCGGGTCGAGTTGCTCGAATGGTAAAATGCTCCGATCTTGAGGTTTACTAAGCTCCAAAATGACGCCGTTTCGATGGGGGTATAAATAGCCCAAATTTAGCCTTTCTGCTTCAGATCTCTCTCCCCCTTATCTCTTTTCCCCCATTTTGTTCTCTCATTCTTTTTCTAATCGGATGAACTCCGGTTGAACTTCAATCAAATTTTAAAAAAAATCATCGAAATCTGAGTTGATTCGCCAGATGATCATCGAAAAATTCAATCGGTGTCGGAATCTTCATCGAATTTTGTAAAACCTCATCGAAAAATTCAATCAGCATCGAAAAAGTTATCGAAAAATTCAACCGGTGCAAAAAAATTTATCAGAAACTGAAAAATTTTCAAAAAATTAAAAAAAAATCTGCCAAAATTTCAAAAAAAATTCCTAAAATTTCTAAATTGCTTATGCACTCTTAAACACCTTTTTTTAGCTTCTATTTTTTGTATTTTTTATGTGCTTTTTATTTGTATCCAAGCCTATATTTGTAGAGTTTTTCAAATTCGAAAATCCTAACCAAATGAGTTTCAATCCCTTTTGAATTTTAATTACAACCTTTAATCCGACTTAAACTCCTCAACCACATTTTTTTTGTTTTTTATTTTTTTATTTTTTAATTAATATCTTATTATCTTAAAATAAAATAAAATAAATAAAATAAATAAAAATAAACAATTAAGTTTATCATTTGGATCCCATTAAATCAGACTTAATGGACTTAAGCTCGAGTTCGAATCAATTAGAATGTTTATAATTATAATAAAATATTAAAAAGTTAAATAATTTTTAAATTATAATTTTAGGTGTTTTACCTTCTAAATCTTTCAACACTTTGGGAGAGAAAAAAGGGTGGGGGAGGGGGGGGGGGGCGCGCTCTAGAAAAGAGTCTTTGTCACACACTTGGAATGGTGTGTTTATGAAGAATTGAATGAACCTTGAGAGTTGAGTGAAGTGACTGAGGGAGGAGGCCGAAGGGGAGATTCGGGGCCCCAATGGCCTAGCCGAAGGGTGCTAAAGATGGTGCCCATAACCTTTTTCTTTCTCTCTCATTCACGTGCCCTAACCATCTTATCAACAAAAGCATAACTGGCCTTTGAGTTCGAAATAAGACCAAAATTTATCATAACAAAAGCAAAAGTGTACCAAAGCTTATCCCCATTTTAATCACTTGTTGCTCTTCTTTTTTCTTTAAGCTTACTGTCTTCTCCTACTTTTCAATTATCATTCGTTACAAAGAGCAACAAAATCCAAAGAATTTTAATGATATTTAGACTGCGTTTCAGATTTTTTTTTGGATAAGATAGTATGAGTACTTTTAGTTTTATATCAAACCTAACTCAAATAATATGTCAAACTAATTTAAAAATTAATCGATAATATATTTAAAAATATTGATAAAAAAATTAATGTATAATTATAATTAGATATGAAAGTTCAAATATTTTTATATTATTATATTATTATTGGTACTTTTTATAATTTAATATATTTAAATTAAACACCAACTAAAAAATTCCTAACTACGTTAGTACTTTTAAGATTGATCCCATTAATCAAATTCCATTAGTTACTTCTTTTCATTTAAAAAAAAATATATATATAATTCCATTTAAATTTGCCAGCATAATTACTGCTAATAATTAACTTTTATTAATTGAATTTGTTAATATACGTACATATATACATTTAATTTCACTATAATGTACAAAAGTTTGACTTTTGTAGATATTAAGCTTGCAAGTTTCTCTTTTACTCTGCCTTGTGTAGCTGCATGAGCTCAAATAAGGGATGGATCATAGATGTGTTAACTTGTTTGAAATAGTAAAAATAATAATAATGTGGTGCAAATTATAAAATAATTATTATTCATGGAACTTATTCAATCCTTTGCATTTTGGATTAATTTTTCTCAAGTATGAAGTTTATATATTTTTAAATTCAGAATTAAGTTTAAGTCTTTGTTTCAAATAAAAAAAGAAGATTTTTTTTTTTTGGTGATTGAGGATTTGAGGTTATCAAAAAATTAAAATTTAATTATTACAGAATTTTGTTAACAAGTGTTTTTAGAAAATTGATTTTTTAAAGATTTTGCTGAAGTATCCTAAAAATACTTATCAACAAAATCAATTACTATAACTAAAAAAATTCTACATTATATTATGAAAAGGTATGTTTGGATGAGGGATTTTAAGAAAATATTTTATTTGTATAGAAACTTTTAAAATTTAAAAATAAAATTATTTTATTTGATAAAATAAAAATTAAAATTGTCAAAATTTTTGAAATTTGAGTGAAGAATTTTGAAGGACACAAATTCTCTTTTCAAATTTCACCTACAAAGGTGAAATTTATGAAAAATTTTTATTTTATAGAAGGAGTCAGCATTTGTTATATTTATTTTTTGTATGCAAGTTTTATTTTCTTCAACTCTAATTACAAAACTCATAATAAAATTTATATTTTTAATATTTTCATATTATTAATAATGTCTATTTTTACAAACATAATGGTACCCATATTACATATATATTTTTTAGTATTTTGCTGTTTTTTTTTTATCTCTAATATCATTTTTTTTATTATAATTAGTTTTTTATCTCATCAAAATTTTAATATTTAAAATTATTTCCAAAAATAATTATCCAAATAATGCAATTTCAAACTTTAATATTTTGAATTGATACATTATAAAATACTAATATTTTATGATTTTTTTAAATTTCAATACCTAACAAAACAAGAAAACTTTCAACACCTGATAACCGTGGAAATTACCTTATTTTTCACAGCAATAAATCAAAGTGTTCAAAGGTAGATGTCGAAATTAAATGGTTGACATATGTAATTATCAAATGAAAATTGTCCACTTGTTTTTTCATAATTAAAGCTCTACTATTAATATTTTTCAAATTAAAAAAATATATATTTATATCAATTTTATACAGTTAAATTTTTATTTTTAAATTATTTTTTTTATAAAAATAAAATTTGAGAAGAAAAAAAACTCTATCATTAAATTAATTGAATTAAATTTTAAGAACTTATAACATATATTAATCAAGAAGTTTTTAAATTTTATAGATCGAGATTAGTGTGATGATACATATCTATTAAGTAACGCTTTGTATCATATTTAAAATCACCTAATGTAATCATCGATGTGATATTATCATTTTTTATTTGGAATCAATTTTTTTGATTAATCATTATTAATTTACAAGAATTAAATGTTATCGATTTTGATATTATTAAAAATTAAAAATTATTTTATTTAAAAATACAAAGATAATCATATATATTATTATAGTTATAGAAGTTAATGACTTTAATGTTGACAAAATAATAATTTATAAAATATAATAATATTTTATTTATTTTATAATAAAGTATGATCAAATTATTAAATTAGTAAATATATTTATTTATTAGCTAAACTAATTTTTTAATAAAATTATGTAAAAACATTTGAGTTAGAAAATAAAAATAATTTATTAAAGCCATAATAAAAATTATATTATATATAAAACATTAAAAAAGTAAAAAATTATACAAATTAATTTTTAACTTGTTAAGACCGTTAATTTTAAAATATAAAAATTATACTATAAAATAATTACAATTTTAAGAAGAAATAAGATTTTAATCCACATATTAAATAAATAATATTAATTATTATTAATTTTATATAACCTAAAAATATCTTTTTAAATAAGAATTAAATCAATTTCGATAATATAAAATTAATATAACATTGAATCATCATATACTTATTTAATACAATAATCTAATCATCATATATATAAATGATCATTATTTTTTAAATAATCAACACGAATAAAATATTACCTTAGAGTATGTTAAAAAATAAAAAAAATAGATTATGTATATTTATAATCATGCTAAATTAAAAAATTCAATTGACAAATAATTTCTCATAAATTTTTGTGGATAAAGCATGAAAAAATTAAAAACTGCTGGGGTTGGTCTTTTGTTTTTATGCACCTTTTATTCACAAAAGAAAAAAAAAAACTACAAGGTAGAAAAATAATTGAAACAGAACTAGGCGGGTCTTCACTCTTTCATGCCGTTCCATTCTGACAAAACCAATCCAAACGCAGAGCAGATCGGATACATTGATTTATTGAGGAGTGACATGAATGAGGACCTTCTTTTTTTCTTTTGGGATAAATTTTTTTTTGCCAAATGGAACTCGATGTTTGTTAACAAATTAATTTTGGGTAACTAAGGAGCGTGGACTACATGCAACAATACAAGAGGAGCTAAAGGAATGGGTCCCAAACTCATTTGTTTTGTAGATGAAAGAGGAGTAGACGCGAGTGAAAGGAGAGGGAAGATCACACACGCACATTGTAGCAAAGCAAAACCAAAGGAATTGTGTCATGTGGTATGAATTTAAAAGAGGGCATAAAATTACAAAAACTAGAGAACAAAAAGTCTTTATACCCTTTTTCTTTCTTCCACTCTTTCACAGTGAGTGTGATTGTTGGGGAGAGAAAGCAGAGTGAGCGGTTGAGAACAACCCACCTCAGTTTTCGCTTTCTATGAAGAAGGAAGCCAAATTCAAAGAGTGTGATAAAGGAAAGTCGAGAAGAAGGCGATGATGGAGAGAGAGAGAGAGGAGAGAGAGAGAGAGAAAGGGGTTGGAAGAGAAAGGTCGGCAACAAATAACAACACAAGTAAGATAGAGATATAGAAAGAGAAAATAGAAGAAAAGAGGAAAAGGGTCGTTATAGGCTTATTCGATGGATACTAATTATATTGTTTTGTTTGTTTTTCTTTCTTATTACAACACTGCAGTAGCAGCACAAGTCCAGTAGCACCAGCTTGGCTCTAAAATTTCCTTTGTTTTTCCACTCTTTATTTTTTAATGATCTACCGACTTAACTGGAAGGTGCCTCAGTCATCTCTCCCTCTCAATACCCACAGACTCTTTTTTTCCCTAATAAAAGCCAAAGTGCCAGTATCAGCAGCAGCTACTAGTAAGCTAATAGAAGAACACACTGTTTTCAGTAGCAGCAGATTGCAGAAGGCAAAGGAGAACAACAACAAAAGAAAAACTACTGCCTGCTGCACCAATTAGAAAGCCACCCAACAAACAAGATCTTTCTTTCTTTCTCTTTCTAAAACCTTCCCTTTCTTTTTATCTTCATCTGCTACAATTTCAGAGAATTTGACCCCACCGTCCCCTTCTCTCTAACTCATATGACACCCACATAGAAATCTTCTTAGATTGCTCCTTTCCCCACTTCTACATCTTTTTTCCTTGTATCTTTTTCATTAAAAAAAATTGGCTTTTACTCTTATAATTTATTTATGTTTTATGTTTGTAAAGATTGGGATTTTTAACAATCAAAGGAGACATCTTTGTTAATATATTTTTGTTGTTATCATTGTCATTGTGGCTACCACAAGAAGGCAGCTGCCGTCAGACTCAGGAGCCTTCGCAGAGTGGGCGACGTCATCGTCCACAGCAATCCGAGCTGGCCCCGATGACCTTTCTCTTGGCTTCAATGCTAACGCCGCCGCGGCTGTTGCTGCTCCTGGGTCCACTAGCCCTCAATGGCCACCCTCAGCTCGTCCAATCAACTACGGAGTGTCCCACGAAATGGGGATGGTTGGTCTCCGGGATTTCGTCGTTGTTGCTCCTGCTTCATCTTTTAACCATCACAACCACCATCATCACCACCATGCTCAAGATCCCATCATGGCAAATGATCAAATCAACGGTCCAAATGCATCCACGACACTTGGTGTTGGCGTTGGCGTTGGTGTTATCCCACTCCTTACAGCAGCTCCATGTTTTCCTCCACAAAATGTGGAAGATTCTGATCTCTTGAATAATATTGGTCGTAACAAACACAGTGTTATGCAGTTATGGCAGAATCAAAATTCTTCTGATTTTCTTAGAAAACCATCTTCAGTCCCTGAGAACAATAATTCTTCTATGAATTTGATACAAAGCAGTGGTGGCGGTGGGATGGGACTTGGGAATGGTGGTTCAGGTTCAAGCTCAGGGGCAACGTGTCAAGATTGTGGAAACCAAGCTAAGAAAGATTGTACCCATAGGAGATGTAGAACATGTTGTAAAAGTCGGGGTTTTGATTGCCCTACTCACGTGAAGAGCACGTGGGTACCTGCTACTAGGAGAAGAGAGCGTCAGCTCATGGCGGCTGCAGCTACTACTGCTGGTGCCGGCTCATCAGGGTCCACTTCTGGAGCCAAGAAACCAAGACTTATAACTTCACAGACTACAACCGCTTCTCATACATCAACTTCAAATACTACTCCTCCTAGAAGCTTTGACAATAGCTCAAATCACCAAGGTTTGTTGTTTTGCTTCTCTTTCGGTGGTTGGTTTTTTATGTTCTTTCTTTTTAGCTTTATTTGTTTTTTTGATAGGGTTTAGAAAGATTTGTTTTTTTTTTAGGGTTGTTTTTGGAGCCGGGTGAATTTGAGTAGGGTTTTGCTTGAATTTTGTATATGCAGATGCAGGTTTTAAAGAGACGTTGCCGGGGCAAGTACGTGCACCAGCGGTATTCAAGTGTGTAAGAGTGACAGCAGTTGAGGATGGGGAGGATGAGTATGCATATCAAGCAGTTGTTAAGATTGGCGGACATATATTCAAAGGGCTTCTTTATGACCAAGGAGTTGAAGGAAGAGATGGGTTCCCTAATATATCTGAATTGCATTTAGGTGGTGGTGTTGGTGGAGGGAGTGGAAGAAATGGGGGGTCATCGTCTCCTGTGCTTGATCCTTCTGAAGTTTATGCAGCCACTGGAGGTGACTTGCTTGGTGGTGCAGGTTTTGGTAATCCAATAAACTGAGATCATCTTTTCGAGTTAAAAATAGTGGATTGATGGACTCGTGGGATGCATTGTAGTCTAATTCGTATTTCTGCTGCCTACTAATTATTAATAGGATTTTGTTTCGATCTTCTTCTTGTTGTGGGTTTGTATCCTTATTAACTCATGTCTTTCTTTGATTTCAACTGTCTTTGTCCTTTTTATATTTTTGTTATGTCTAATTGCCTTTGAAATTGCACTCAGATCATCTTGTCAACGAATCTACATTTTCTTACATTATTAGGATATATGTTGTACCGAATTACATATCATAGAAAATAAAGGTAAGAACAAGAGATCCTGCACTAGTAGACAATATTAATTCTTCAAAATCTGTGATGATAAAATCTGTTCGCTTTCTTGAAGTTGTTGCGTTCTTTTTTCCTTCTTCATTTTGTTCATTAAAGATGTGTTTGGCAAAGGTGAAATCTACAGTGTAAAGCGTTTTTCATCATCAAAAGACTTTGTGTTATGAACCTTACTTTGTGTGTTTACACTATTTTTTCGTGCAAAGTGATAAATTTCTTATGAAAAATTCTCTATGAATAAATCATTTGTTTCTGTTTTCTTCTCTCTTCCTCTCTCTCTTGTATCATTCTGATCATGGCATTCATGATGAGATCTAAAATAATATTCCTGCAGCTCTCATTTCCGCTGCTTTAGTTTTTGGTTTGTAATGAACCAGAAGTAAATGTGGAATTTATGATTATTGTGCTGCTTTAGACTTTAGTTTGAGAAGTAGTTGTTGTGTCGCCATCATTCATTGCCAAAGAAGAAAGAGCATTGCATGGATGTCGCTGTCGGCCCACTTTATTGCTGTGGCATTTCTGCAATGTGGACAAGCCTGCAATTGCATGCATCCATTTATGCTTGATGTACTTGCCTCTTCTATTATAATAGTATGAGAAATGTTCCCTACCTAAGTTTCGACCCCAGACTGTATCCAATCCTTGTATGTTATATTTTAATCATGCCTATTTTTTACATGGTAGAATATTGATGCTCAATTCTGCACCCATTGCCCCAGCTGTCCCTGGAGACATAGATTCTACTTGCATGCACTATAGGCTTTATTAAGTGAAATTGCTAATATAGCTATTCCTGCATTTTGATTAATTGAATACATGTTTACTTTTCTTGTGAACGAAAAGTATGCAATGTATTAGATATTTGTGCAATATTCTATCAGTATGTGGGTTTTCTTCTGGCTCTTACGTATGCACTTGAGAAAACCAGGATAATGGATGTTGGAAATGTCTGTTTGGCTTCTAATGATACTTTATCCCCCAAGATGCTGCAAATTTATGTATCTTTTGCCTATAATCTTATTTATAAATGTTGACTAATGTGGATTAAAATAAGATGAGGCATGTATTTAAAATTGTTGTTTAGGTCTTGCTTTCCCCCCATTGGCAAGTTTCCTCCTTTATATGTCTGCCTATATTATAGTAATAGGTGGATTTCATCATGTGGATTGCATTATCATTCTTTCTTTCTATATTTACCTGTATTTTATGCCAATAATCTAAAATGCTGCGTACCACTTCTTAAACCATGTGTGTTGAGAAGAGACAGTTTCGTTGTTGTTTGAAGCACTTCTCAGCTATATCAGACACTAAATATCTATGAACATGACAATATCCACCTCTCTGCTCTTTTGTTTTGCATTTTACTTCTTTTGGAATCTAGGGTATATTACTATATTTTATATCCTTGTCAAGAACTGGCATGTGCTTGATCCTTGCTACTGTCTGTACATATGACTCTCAAGCTGAATTATCCAGAAAGATGGAATTATTGTTTGCAAGATTTTCTTATCGGTTAGAGGTTGAAGATTTATATTGAATTAGTTGGTTGTTGTAGATGATGAAGATGTTAAGAGTGTGAAAGATTTTGCAAGTTTGATGATTTATTGATTGGTTTTGAATTATGCATATGTTTCTGGAATTTTGCTATTAAATATCCTCCTCGCTAGGACATACTTTGTATTACACTTGTTTACACTAATTAATTGCATCTCTAAAATTTCCATGACTAATAAACTGTTATGTTGTTAGAAAGTGATAATCTAGCTAGTGTAGCCTATCTGAACTATTTCTGACAAGTAAGTTCTTTATTGCTGATGAAGCATTAGGAAGGAATTTACCTTTTATATTCCTTTCAGATTTCACATTTTTGTAGGAATCTTCGTTTTCTTTTCAAGCTACTGCACTTAGTAAATTATCAAGATTGGCTATTGATCAATTTCTGGTAAGTATATTTGTCATTCAATGCTGAAAGCATTAGGAAAGGCATTCATTTTATCTTAAAATTTTTTATACGATTAATGTTATCTTCTTTTTCTCTACATGTTACTGCATATGGAAAGAAAATGGCTTAAAAAAACTTTTAAGCTTTACCTTTTACAAGTTACTTAAAGAGTGTATCATTTAATCACCATCTTTTGAGAGTTTAGATGACAAAAGCTGGAAATTTACAGCTCTTAGCTTTAAAAACATAAGTAAAAACTGTAGGAGGTTCTTAGCTTCCTTTTCCATCTCGGAATGCATCAAATTGAAGCATGTATCTCTGAGGGAGTGCTTGTTTGTGTATTCTCCCTTATATAAATGATCTTCATTTGGCATCAAGTTTTCTTTTCCTTATTTGTCTCTACGTCACTGTTTGTCTCTTGTTTTTGTTGGCATGCAGCTAGTTAGCTATAACATTATTATAATTGGGTGCAATTCTTCTTGACCTTTTTGTGTAATCTGAATGAATTGTGCGTGAACACAGCAGCAGACAGCACATGATGCTAGGAATATCTGCTGCATTTCAACCTGGTACTTTGAATTGTTTGGTGATTTGAAATTAATTAATTGCTCATTTCACATGCAACCGGTTTTTTTATTGTCCACTCAAAAATAGTGACAAGTTTATAAGTTTTATAGTCGGTAATGTTTTTGGTGAATATAATAAACCAACATGTGGTGTGCGTTTAATCTCCTTTCTCTCTACTTGCATCTCAACAGTATGAGCCTCCCATTGCCTTGATATTAAAGAGTCGCTCATTTGTTTCTTCATGATAATAAGATGATTTCTGTTTCCTGCCTTGATATCTCTCAGTTTCTGCTTTGGTCTCCAATTTAAATGCAAAATATTACTCTAGCAGGTGATTACTGTACTTTTAAATTAGGGTCCTTACAACTTTTCGTGGGTATATTTTCTTGGGAAAATCTACTTTCATTAAGGCATGATCTTGTTTTAACAATCAAATATTGGTGGACAACTTTATAATTTCAAAGAAATTCTACTGAAACCGCTTGATGGATTGTATGTTGAGAGCCTGGACAAATGGTTAGACTTTTAAGTTAAATATGTCTACTTGGCACATGGACCACTTCTGGTTGCCAAGCATCTAAGTACTGATGAGTACTTATTATTGATATCATGCGGCTATGATCTTATCTAAAGTCCTATGAAAGTGTTCCCAGTTACTACATGATAAATTTGCATGGTTGTTTCGGCCAGTGCAGTTGCTTCATTCATTTATTGATTGAGCACCATTTATGCATAGAGGCTGAAAACTCTAGTAGTCTTATTGTCTAGTGTTTGTAGCTGTAGTCCTTGTAAAGCATTCTAGAAGATCGGTATTAGATCTTGTTATTACTTGAATGAATGTTGAATCACATCTTTGAATCTTACGCTTTGTAGAGCCAGATTTTTGTTCTTCAGAAAAAGAAAGATAGCGAGATTATGGTAATTACTTATTGAATTCCCCCAATAATGAAAGATGGATTGAAAACTGTACCGAGCCTGTCTATCAATTCAAATAGGTAGGTAGATGAAAATGTTTTCTGTAGATATTATTATTGGTTTGAATTCTGCTACTGACCTGTTATAACCCTTGAAGGATTGAGGAAAAAGTTTTCTTCTATTGCTAGCTGTGTTCTCAAGTAATAATAGTTATAAGAGCTTGTCTTTGAAGTCCATTAAGTCATGGAAGTACATAATGAAGTGCCTATGCCTATCGTAAGCAGGATGTTCATAAATTATAAGCAATCATGGTGCCTTGCAAGTTGGAACATGTTTAAGAACATGATGTGATATCAGGCTTGAATTAACATATGTTTAAGATGTGTAAAACATATTTTACTCTTGCTAAGTATTGTATGTTCTCTTCGTAACCGTTGCCCATGATAGGATGCACCAAATACATACTATTATTACTACTACTACTACACAGGAAATAAAAGTGTCATATAGGGTGTCTGCTTGCTTAAGTAATACTGCTTCTTCATGTCCCAAGAAAAAGAAGGTACTACGATTCCATCTAACAACTTGGCAATGGTTGTGACTTGTGATGAATCTCGTTTTTTGTATTTTGTGCCTATGCTTTTTTATCAAGCACTCCTTTAATCTGTTCAGCGTGGAAGGGAGCTTTCATTTTACAAAAGGGTTTTCCATGCCAATGAACAAAAATTAAAGTTTCATATTTCCAAAGTGACAGTTTCCACAAATAGCTGTGAGCATCATTTTACTTTTGGGTCCATTTCGGGATGGGAGATGGGAAGAAAATCTTTGTACAATTGTTTCAGATGCAAGTTAATAATAAAAAACTTGTATAATGATTTTTGTTTCCAAAGTGAGAATCTGTACAAATTTGTTATGGTTGTGGTTGTGGGGTTGGCTTTGTTGGCCAAGTTGAATGCATTCTGTCAACTAATATCTCTCTTCTTTTTTTTTTTAATTTTTTATTTCTTCTGTGTCCCGTCCAAGGTACAGCCACAACCCTCACCAGACACCTCACGCCCTTTCAACGAACACAAAATTCATTGCAGCAGCAGGCCTTTGTTTTTACGTTTTGTTATACATTAAAAAGTTATTCTTAGGCATTTTGGCCTGTGCAAGCATATGCATCCGTCAGGCACACCTCAGGCATTTTCGGCTAAAATTTTCATCAGTGATAATACTTCTATAAGTAAATATTATATATATATAAATATAAATATAAAATCGAAGGAAAATATATATTATCGAATCAAATATTCAAGTCGGTTTTAAATTTTTTAATAGGTTGAATAATAGGTTAAGAGAAAAATGATGATTATTTATCCATGCAAGTTTAAAATTTAATGAACTTCAGGTAATGAACTTCAAATTTAATTTAATTAATTTTTACAAATTTAAAATTTATTATTTATAATTCTTTTATCTTCAAATTATGATTAAAATTTTTTTTTTGGTCCTTTATGGGGGCCCAGAGGGAGGAGGACGAAGACTTGGTGTCGGGGCGTGCTTTTATAAGGGAAAACTGATTGATTCCTTGCACGATTGATTCCTTGCATTTTCTTCAATTCGCTGGACGAATTTTGCTTTCCAACATTTGCTTAATATTATGATTGGAATATCCCGTATTTCCAACGCCGTAAGATAATCAAAATTATTAGCTACTGCTAACATATTTTATAATGTTGGAAGCTTGCAAATTACACTTGCCATGCAATGCCGTTTCTTTTTGTCTTTTTTAATCTTAAACACGCATTTATACGCATAGAATTGCAGGATTCGATCCTTACGATTGTTGTTGAGTGGAACATTATGATTCATTGTTCCATCATGGAATACAAAATATTTTAGGGATACTAAGACAATAATTAATTTAAATATTTTCCTGAAACATCTCTCTCAAACTAGGTTTTGCGCTTGTAACAAAATTAGGGTTTTATCTAAATTCTCTGACAAACATTTTGTTGCATGCATATATTGACAGGCAAATTATCACTAAATTATGTTTGGTATATAAAATTAAAATAAAATAAAATAAAATAAGATGATATTATAAATAATATCATTTTATTTTAAGTTTGATATGTGCAATGATTAAGATAAAATAATTTATTTATTAATCAAAATTATCCTTCCTCAAATTTATTTAATTTAAATTATTAATGTAATTTTTAAAGATATAATAAGACATAAATTTAAACTTATAGATTAAAAATAATATTCATTTGAAGATGATTGAATTATCTTAAGCTAAGAGAATATTAATCCTCTTTACAATCTTTATTCCTCTCTTTAGATATAAATCAAATATGATACAAGATAATTATCTTTTTCTATCTATTACCCTATACACCAAACATAGCCTAAATATATATAATTAGTTATGGTAATTTCAAACAAAATATCATAACATGAAATAAAATCGACACCAACAAAGAATACGAAAATAATTTAATTTAAAATTTTAACAAAACCTGTATGAAATTGACAAAAATTAAAAAAAAAATCGTAATTGATATAACAATTTTTATATTTTACAAGTATTTGACAAAAAAGTATACAATATTAATACACAAATGGTCATGTCCATATATAATCCGATAATTGTTAAACACAGAATCTCTAATTTCAATAAATTATATTTCAAGTAGCAGTAGATACCTAACCCCTTGCTTTTCATAAAGACCACCATTATTTTGGTGGGATGGATTTGGACATAAGCAATAAACAAGTTTGATAGCGGTTGGTTGCAATCATGAATACTTTCCACAACATAAAAGGATGACACCTCAAGAACAAATCGGGGTCGCACAATACCACTAGAATAATTCCCTAATCGTGTCAGAAATGAAAAAAACACAACTGTTGCTTGTCGACAAATGATTAGGCAAAAGATAATGAGAAGGTTATCATACTTGAGAGTTGAGATGCAGAAAACAGTATCTTCCAGCACAAACTTTTGACTACTTTTTATCTTATATGATAACTAATCAATCAAAAGCTCCCAACATTGAAATATATATATATATATATATATATATATATATATATCACAAAGAGAAGTCTGATGCTGCACAATTCTGTTTTTCAATTACTAAACAAGAGTTCAATGCCACCATGTTCTACCCTATATTCCTGAATGAGCATCACTTGGTTTTGCCAAGCATAATGGGATGCTTCTTGTGGGAAAGGGCAATACAATGTTCTTGTTAACACATAGATCTTTCGTATAAAACAACTACTAAGCATAAGTATTTAAGCAAAGTCAGAAGACAGCCATTAAAGGGCCACTTTGCCAGTCACCAAAATTTTGTAATATCAGGGACCGGAGGGAGGGGAAGATAATTATATTATAAATGAACTCATGAGTTTATATGAGAAAAGATGCGTACTTTTCACACTTTAAACCGATGCTTCCAATATGAAAGTCCAATATTAGGAAACAGTGACACCAGTAAACTCCAATTCTGCCTTTGCGGCATTAATTGCATCAATAACATTCATCTTTCCCATGCTCACAGCTTCATCAATTGGGGTCCGTTCATGCCTGCTCATAACCCAGTTCCAGAAATAATCATGTATTTGGAAGGAGAAAAAAAAAACTCGAACAAAGAATTACTAAACTCAATATTGACATCATAAATAACTCACGTATTTAGAAGGCTTACATTTGCTCCTGATAGAACTAATTTCTTAACTACCTGTCACCAGCATTTATAGAATAAATCAAACATTGCACAAGAATAACTAAAGTGGCAGACTACAGCAAACAGGACCAATAATAATTTACCTCAACATGACCGTTGAGACAAGCCCAATGAAGAGGGGTATTGTTCTCCACATTACAAGCATTAGCATCCTGATCATATAGAAGCTTCAAAATGTAAACAAGATGCTCCAAAAAAGATAAATAATAAATGCTAAAGATACAATAAAGGCAGCTTTTAAAGTAGGATAATTCGTTGTGACCTTTAACAAGAAATATGGAAGCAATAATACTCAATAAGCTAGGCTCAAATAAATACATGGAAAAAACTGTTTCCATCCAAGCCAAGAAGAAATTTTAGTAGAGACTGACCTCCCAGATCCTCCTCCGTAGAAAGGTAATAAGTTTATTGCCACACAAAAATTTGAAAGCATGACAGCAGACTGACTACTACCTACACTATTTGGTATTATGTTTATCATTAGGTAGAGTTTATAATTTTTGAAAGATCACCATAGTAATGTAATCACCAAGGTGATCTTATTATTAAAGTGATCTTATCATTCATAATTTGAAATTATTTTGTTTGGTTAACAATAATTAAGTTTTAAAAATTAAAGATCATTGTGTTTAGTATTACTAAAAATAAAACATTATTTTGTTTAAAAGCACAAAAATAACCATGCATATTGTAATGTTACACAAATTAATAATTTTAATATTGCTTAAAGATAATCATTTGTAAAATATTAGCAATATTTTATTTATTTTATATAAAATAGAATTAAATTATTAAATTAAAAAAATGTATTTTTTGATAGATAAATTAATTTTACAATATAAATTATGTAAAAATATATATATTTGAATTAAAAATAAATCGAATTTGTAAAATTTATAATAAAGAAAAAAATTTTAAATTATTTATAAAATATTAAAAAATAAAAAACATACAAATTATTTTTTAATTTGTTACAATGAATGTTAGTTTGAAGATATTAAAAAATATAATTATAAAATAATTACAAGTTTAAGAGAAAGCAAATTTTTAATTTACATATTAAATGAGTAATACTGACTATTATTAATTTTACATATCACTTTACCTCGGTAAAAAAATATTTTCCACCCTTTTGTATAGGAATTAAATCACCCTCTAAGACAGTGATATAATTACTATCAATGATCCAAGATCACTACCATTTAGGATAACTGAGTGCTTACCAAAAATAGTGATCTAATTACCATGTATAGATCACCATGATTTTTGAGTAATCACCCTACTCCAAACACTACCTTAAAGAAGAAAAACCCTTTAATTCTACGTTACATGAACATTGAACATCTATAGAGAGGGTTCCATCAAGAATCTACTTGATATCAAAATTGGATGGATAATAATTGACAATCAATTGTAAAATTCTACTTGTAGCAAATAAGGTTCCAAATAACAGTATTTGCTTTTAATCACAATTTCACCAAGAACATTAAACTGCTATATAAATTAATCCTTGAATATTCATCTTCTACCCACAACACCTCACTCATATGCCAACTACTTGAATTGGAGAACACTCTTCAATCCAATTTAACCAAATGGCATTTAACTTCTTTGATCTTCTTTTCATATCAAAATTTTAAAGAGACATAAAAGTTATTGGTTAGATAGCTTGTTGGCTACAATGCTCTTAGAAAGAATAAACGATCCTCCTTTGAAAAAATGCTTTCAAAACCTCAACATCATCAACTACAGAAGTCACAGTTTCTTAAATTAACCCACACCTATCTTGCTCCAAAGCCCACATTCTCCAATAAAGTGTAATAGACACTTCAATGCAAATGGTCATGGGCCTTGTTATTCTATCCAGTTTCCAAAGTTCTAAATCCAAGAGTACAATTTCTAGTCCACTTCATTAAACTACTATCAGAATCCAAAATCAGCTCAGCCCCTAAATATGCATTGTGAGAATTTAAAATTACCAAACAAACCACACCTTTAATTCTCCCCATAAAACTTTCGCTATTAACTTATAAATTCTTCTCACTAAAACCTACTTTAGTTTTTATTCACAACAAAATTTGTTTTCTATGACCATGAGTCCTGAAAGTCTCTTAAACTGAGCTATGAGTTTTTTCTTTTGGCCAGAAACTGAGCTTGGATAAGGTATGAGAATATTTTCTTGAACTTTTTAATACTGCAATTCAAGTTGCAAAACTTTGAAATTCACTATTGGATAATTGCTTTTCAAAGTAAGATTCTGTTGGTGAAAACATTAATCAAACCCAAAACATAAAATTGCACCAACCAACAAAACTACATGACACATGAAACTAATTCAACCCATAAAGCAAATAAAACCCATATAATGTATAATTAATTTATACACTCACGGAAAATCCTTTCTGCTGTTGCTAATCAAGAGAGTTTTGAAACTTTTCATAATACTTAATTATACCCAACACTATGCTTGCAGGTACAATTATCTTTTGCCAAATTTAAATATAAAACACCTTATTGGCGGAATTTTTCTAGACAAAAAAAAGAAGGTAAAAAAAGATTTTACTTTGACCAAGCTAAAATCATGTCAATAATATGGATACAAGAGGTCTAGAAGCAGAGGAAGATAACAATAGGATTTCGAAACAATTGCTAGATAAACACTAATCCATTCATAGTCATCATATATGTATGTCCGTGTCTCTGTTACGAAAGGGACTGAACGTAATGCAGCCAATCTCAATTAAAGTAATTCAAGAGAAAGACCAAAAACAAAAAGGAGCAGCCACCATTGTCGTGTTTTTATAGACAACAGGGCAAGAGAGGGCGATGGAAGGATACATCCAAGAAGAAATCAATCATGAGAGCAAGATTAAAAAGGATTTAGAGATTTCCAACAGAAAAGGAAAAGCAAGCATAATTTTTAATCAAGTGTGAAGAGGAAGACAGGAAAAGCTAAGACCAGAAGTTATGGAGAGAGAGAGAGAGAGGCGTCTGAAGAACTGGATGGAGAAAAACCAAAAAGGGGTTTTGCAATTGGACTTCTTGAAGTTGAAAAGAAAACTTGCAATTTAGGCATATCAAATCCCTTCAAGAAATGACCCAAGTATTTCAAACAATTCCCCTTTAAATTGCTAGCAAAGGAATTTATTAACAAAATCTTCTATCCTTCTTGGAAAGAAGATCATCCTACAAGTAAGTCATCAATTGCAGCTATTTTTAACCTCCTACACCAAAAACCCTAGGTAGGTAGGTAGGTACGTATGAAAGTTGAAACTGTCCTAAAAAGGTTATCTAGTAACTTGCTCGCCTAATGTCTTGTAGATGGAGGGAATAATTGCTTCATTATCCACCCCCTCCATCCATGAAGCTTGCACTGTGGGAACTCCTGGGCAAGATGCCTATTGGTATGGATAGTATATCTTTTGCCTTTTTTTCCAAAAAAATCAATGTAATGTTTCTCCCTTTTTTTTTTTTCGCTAACGTAATGTTTCTCCTTCACTCTCTAATAATTTCAAGTATTTTTATTTTTCCTTCTTAAACTTTAAAAGTAGAGCCTGTGAAAGCCAATGTAAAGATGAACCCATAACCTCTAGATCAACAGGATCTAGGGTTCCTTGGCTTTATGCATTATTTCCGCATCATCTCACATTCTGTTGTAAGCTCTCCTGTTCCCTACTACCTCATCTTTGGACCCTCAACCCAAAAGGAAAATAAAAATTCAGCTCTTCTGGCGCATGTGCAGCCCTAGATCTTAGAAAGAGATCAAAATTGATTAGGATGATGGGGTTAAAATGACCTAAAAATTACATATTTTATTTTCCATTTACTGTATGCTCCAAACTCAACCACCCATCCCACACTGCCCCCCCCCCCCCCCCCCCCCCAAAAAAAAAAGAAAAAAGAAAAAAAGAGGAAGTTAAATGACTCCTATACTAATTTATTCCAAATTTATTTACAACATGGATGGTGCTTCTGCTTCAACATCATGATAGTCTATTAGATATCTGAAATTAATCGAATAATAGACCCTTTGTTTTCTCTTATTTTCAATATAATTAAATGTCCGAAACATGGCACATGCCTATTCTTTTATTCAAGTATTCAGTCACATGCTAAAGTCTTTCAGAAAACTCAGCAACTAAAGCCAACTGATGCATATTACAAAAACCACAAAAATAAATACTCATAAGACAGGTTTCTTACCGCTCCACTACCAATGAGATACTCCACAATATCAAGATGTCCATTAGCTGCAGCCATATGAAGTGCTACAATAAAAAATCACAGTAGCAGTTAGTGAAATATACACAAATAAATTTTCTTTTTAAATAATAGCAAACAGAGAACAATAGCAGCAACTAAAATGCACACATGAAGACCAAAATGCCAAAGAAATTTCTATAAATTAGCACAATGGTCAACCAAGAGAACAAAAAGAAGGAAATACCAAATTCTTACATTTTGGTTGAAAAACATATTATTTTCCTAAAAATTGACAAAATGATGGGATTTAAAAGTCCATCAACTAAAGTCCTATAATATATGAAGTATAGACTTGTGCTTTAGAGTTTAGTGAGTAGGCTTGTAATAAATATAGTGTCTCTTCAAAAAAAAAAAATCAAAAACTGATATTAATGTAATCTTAATCTGGCAGTGATATAATGATGAGAATCTTGAGCTGGTTATATGGAGGTGATATTGCCAATGGTTCAAACAATGTCATAATCATGATTGTTGGTCATGGCAATGATAGCAGCTGGTAGACAGGGAAGAACAATAATGCTGAGATTGATACTGTCATATTGATTGACATCTTAAATGACGCAAAGCTTCTTTTCATCCTCTGATGTTCATCTGACCTTTAATCTGAATACATTAAAAATGATAGATGACTCCTTATGAGCAATCAAAATGTGACTTCATAATAGTTACGTAAATAATCCAAAACAAAAGTTGCAACTTGTCAAAATTAAGGCAAACTGGGCTCAATTGTCTAAGCTTGGACTTGATTGAAGATCAAACTACACATAAATACATTCAACGAGGCTTTAATTAAGCTCAACCATGATCCAAGTTCAGCAAGTAGAGTTCAACCACAATCCGAAACCTAGTTAGTTGTGTTTGGCCATCTAAACTCCAGAAACTGTAGCTCAAGCAATTATAAAATCATCTCTGTTGGGCTCATTTTAGATCTCAAAGGCATGATGCAATTTCCTTTTAGCTCATGTCAAACAGTTCCTATCTAAATAATAGACTCTGATCTCGTCAACATGACTCCAACTTGCAAATAATTCAAAACACGAATACACGGCTAGGTTTGAGACACCACCATCACCCAAATAAAAACTAACAGACAAACCACATTTTTACCTATCATGATAAACATACACAAATTGTATTCAAGAAAATTAAGTGCAACATGCAACTAGTAAGATGTGAGGAAGAGACGATCAATAATCAAAGTAAATTCAAAGAGCAATGAAGCCATAAAATAATTAGGAACCTGTTCGGCCTTGAGAATCCTTAGAATCAAGCGAGACACCCGTAGATGCTAGTTTTTTAAGATCATCGATATCGTCATATCGTGCAGCCTATGAAACATAGAACATACAACTTAACTTGATTATGAAGTTCTAACTGCTAAGTGAACAGCAAATATTGAAGAGTTACAATTGAAACACAATGCTAGTAATAATTAGCATAAACAATCTTTTCATTTTCTTTCCTCTCCCTTACCAACCATACCAAAAAACAAATAGAAAAAAAAAAAAAAAAACCATTCCTACCAAGCACACTAGTAAATAAAATTTATCTTTTCCTTTCCTTTCAATATTTTAACACTCCTAACTTACTTACTACTAAGAAGAAAACCTTAAACCCTAAACCCCAAAACAAAAAGAAATAATGGATGAAGTTTATAACCTCAAGCAGTTCCTCAACAGTCTCCTGCATTGTTTCTGTAGGGGTTTGCTCTGCTCCATTTGCCTCCGCATCCATCTCTTTGTTTGGCCCAAAGATTAAAAATAGAAAACGAAAGATTTGATTCTTCAGTTCAAATGCGGTGATAAATTTTACCATATGGCAGCAAAAAATAACCAATTAAAGTATTTGAAAGAAAAGGAAATGAATAGTTAAGTGATTGAAAGTATCAGAGCATACCTGAAAGAGCTTGGAAAAAGATATAACCGGACTGGTAATCGATGGTTGTGCGCCGTGCGGCGGGGGCGGCAGCGTCGATATGTTGGAGAGAGATGACTTGTGATTTATGATTTATGATTTAAATTCTTATTTTCAAATTTTGTTGTTCTAAACATATTATTGTAGTTTTATACATTGGCCTTGAAAACTTTAAAAATTATTTCATTTTGGTCCTCACTTTTTGGACTTCAACTTCATCTTATGCTCTTAATTTCATTGGTTTAAGTTTTATATTTTTTATGTTTATAATTTTATCACAATTTTTTTATCATAATCATAATTATAATAAAAAAATAACAAACATAAATTTTAAAGAAAAACATGATAAATTTTATTTATATTACAATAAATTAAAAAAATTCAAGTATTAACAACTATTATAATAATTTATTATAGACTGAATATTTATTGGGCTTATAATTGTGATATTTAAATTTTGATTTCATTTTCATGGAAAGTTATAATAAGGTCAAATAAGATTCAATTTATCACTTTTTCATGATAAATGAATTTTTTGTCTAATTTTGTTGTTATGGATCAATTAATTTTTAATAGAAATAAAAAATTTATCCACCATTTTTTATGGGTGAGATCTTCTAAAGCGTTCTATTTTTATTTTTTCAAGGGAGGTGTAAGCTCTCGTAAGGAGAAAAAGAGAAATCATGCTTCAAAAGTAAGATTTCTATATTTTTCATAAAACTTCTTTAACCATTGCACCAAAATATGGAGGATAGATTATATCATTTTATATACGATAAGATAAAAAAATATAAAAAAAAATCAAGTATAAATTGAATGTAATCATATTTCGTATCTTAATCATGTTATGATATTATTTGTATCGTGTTTATGTCAAATAATAATGCATACTTAAGACAATACATTATTCATAATATAAAAAAGTTTTAAAAATTATTTTAGTTTATTTAAAAAATAAATTACTAATCGTATTTATCATATCATTTTAGAATTTAAATAGATTATAAATATTTAATTTTAAATAAATTTTCATTTAAATACTAATCTAAATATATTTTGGTTTAAATAAATAAATTAATCATGTTTAATTATTTATTCGTATATAATCATGTTAATCATATTATTTCGTATTATATTATTTGAATAATTAATCATGTCTAATCGTTATTATTATTAATGTTAATCGTGTATGTAGTATTATGTAAATTATGTATAAATTAATTTTAAATGTATTAATCACATTATGTCTCGTGTAATACGTATAATAAATGTGTCATGTTTATATTTATGCTATTCATGTAATTTATGCATTCATATCGTATTCGTTTCAAAATTATTTATATCATATCTGACACAAATATGACATAATGATACGATTACTTGATCTAATGGAGGATTTTAAAGGGTCTTGTTTGACTTATCTAAATGAATGGATTGCTAACTTTATAAAAAGTAGTTTACTTTATATAGAAAATAAAATAAAATTTTAAAATAAAAATTTAAAGTAGCGAGAATTTTACAAAATTTATCAAAATATTGATGAAGTCTTATGAATTTTTAAAATTAAAATTAAATAAATTTGTAAATAAAATTTTAATGTTAATAGAATTTTATTAGCACTTTCAAAATATTAAAAAAAAACTTAAAATTTTTTAAATATGAAAATTAATTAAATTCATAAAAAATAAATAAAAATAAATGAAACAAATAAAATTAAAATCACAAAATTCATAAAAATAAAATTTGATAAACAATTAATAATGGATGAAAATATGTATAATTAAAATAACAAATTTTTTAGTAACAAAACCTTTTACATTCTTTTATACATGTCATATTGATTATACAAGTCAATATTGAATATAAAAATAGAGATTAAAATTTTCAAAAAATGAATTCAAAGAAATATATGATATATTAAATAAAAAATAAAAATTTTAAAATGTGAAGAGGGGATTGACGAAGCATTTTGTAATATTTTTAATAAATTATTTCTATAAATCTTATTTTCGGATAATTTATTTATAATAAATTTCAAATTTAAAGAATTTTTAAATTTTAATTAAAATTAAATTAAAAAAATACTGCAATGAACTGTGGGACCCATTTTAATATACATAAACATGCTAGCATGCATTTCACATATTATAAATTAAAGATTACACGTTACAACAAGAATAGCCTTCGTTGCAAAGAAGTGGAACTTTGAGTTTCATAACGAAAGTTTATTTTTTTACAATTTTATATAATTTCATTTATTTTATATATTTAAATTTAATATATTCACTATAAAATTTTAAAATTTTAACCATGGAAAATATATTCATAAAAAATACTAAAACTAATTATACTAGAAGAAAGATTCTTATTGTTACTTTTTAAAATAGTCACAACTTAGGAATAAAAAATTAGTAAGAATTTGAGTATTAGATGTATTGAATATTTTAAAGATAATGAAATAAATCAATTTTAAAAATAACGAAATAAATCAATTGAGTTAATCTTGAATTAAAAAAAACTAAAATAATACAAAGACCCTAACTTTATTACTTTTACTTAAATAAATCCTTATACATTTATTGTACTAAAATAAGTTTTTGATATTTAATTTACACCTAAATAATCTTTTAATCTATTATTTGTATCAAAATAAATCCATAATCTTTAATTTATATCTAAATAAGTGCTTAATATAAATTAATTTTTTGTTTGAAAGTATGATTTATGTGGATACATATCAAATAAAAGCTTATTTAGATATAATAAAAATATAAAAACTTATTTGAGAACAAAAGAATAGTTCAAAAGCTTTTTTAATATTTTAATATTTAAGGGTGTGCTTGATACATAAAATTATAATAAGATAGTATAAGATAATATTATAGATAAAATTAAATTAAATAATGTCATCTTATCTAACAATGTTATGTATGATGTATACAAAGATTATGACATGATTATTTTATTTAACCAAAATTATTTTTTTAAAATTTATATAATTTAAATTATTGATATAATTTTAAAGATATAATAGTACATGTAGATTCAATCACATGAATTAAAAATAATTCTCTTTACTTTGGGAGGATTAAATCATCATATACAAATAAGATGATTAGTCTTCTTTACAATTATATCATTTTTCAAATACAGACCAAATATAAAAAAATATAATTATCATTCTATGTTAAAAAAAAAAAAAACTCTTAGCTTTATAATCTACTTTGAGCATTTTTTTTACAAAGGTATGTGAAAAAGATCTTATTTAAAAGTTTGTAAGAGAATTTTTAATTTTATTTTTAAGACTTTTTCCATTATTATTTTGTTCAACTTTGAATGGGAAGATAAATGAAACTGACTATATACAAAGAGAAAAAAATGGAGAGCATATCACCTACACATAAGTAGATGGTTATTAGGGTTAAAGGGGGTTTTGGCCCCCTAAAAATTTTAGAAACCCTTAAAATATACATATATACATTTAAATAAATTAAAATAATTCTTATTAATATTTATGGTTTTATATTTAATTATATACATTACTTTTAAAGGGATTAAAATCATATTGCTATTTGTCTATTTATTGTACCCAATAATAATTATTTATAAACATTTAAAATCACAAGGTCTATTGTAAGTTTTAAATTATAATAATGTGAAATTAATCAAAATCAAATTAACTTTTTAGTTTTTTAAACAAGACCCCATCCAATTAAATATTAGACATACATATGTTTTTCCTTTTTATTTTTTAGCTTACTATAATGTTTTCTTTTCGTATAATATTTTCACTTTTAATTTTACTCTAGATCTCTATTGCATCTTATATTTTAAAGTATGGGTTGGATATGATTGAAGGACAAAAGAGGATAGCTTTGTACGCAAAGAGAAGGGATTTGTGAATTTTTGAGTTGAAACTCTTTTCGCTGCAAAGTGAGTTGGTTAAGGAAAAAGCCAAGTTAATGTTAGAGTTCTATAAGTACGAAGACAAATAAAGTTTTTAAGTCTGATGACGAATAGGATTAGGGACAGCAATCAAGCCCGTCCCCGACGGATTTTGATTCGATCCGATCTTATAGGGTCGGGTTTTTTTTTTTGAATTTCGGATTTCGGGTCGGGGTCGGGTATGCTTAAAACTCGACCCGACATTATTAAAAAATTATTTTTTAATTAATTAATTATTTATATATATTTATATAATGATATTTTTAAATATTTATATTTAAAAAATAATATTTTATATTTAAAAAATAATATTTTATTAATTTCGGATCGGGTCGAATTGAATACGATTTATATATTGTCGAGTCGGGTCGTGTATTAAAATAATTCGGGTCGAGTCGAATTCGGGGCGAGCAAAACCTGCCCCGAACCCGACTCGATGCCATCCTTAAATAGGATGCTAGTATAAGTAATGATATTTTTATATGCATTTAAAAAAAAGTAATTTTGTGGTCATTTGGTATTTTGTCTTATCGTTTTACCAATTATGGGGTATCAAAAGTGTTTACTTTTGGTAACTTGGATTATATTAATATCTTGCATAGAAAGTAGCTTTCGAAGTTGTTTTTATTATTATTATTATTATTGCTTATGTGTTTAAATAACTTGTTGATCAGCATAATTTGTCATGCTTGGATTATACGTCATCTTATATATGAATTCCCTAACTGCATCTTTGATTGTTGAATTTTTTTATATTTCTATCTTGTTTGCTAATAATTAGTGCAAAAGCAAATTGGAGAAGAAATATCGCTAATAGTGGAATCTTAATGAAAAAAGAATTATTGAACCTTTTACTATTTCAAACAATATTCTTTTTGAATATTATGAACATGTTGAAGTATTTTGCTATGCCTTGCTGAAGCTTATGTTGCTAAAGTTGCAATATGAAAATATCTTCATTTTTTTGTCATTAATATGATCTTGTATTTAGATGGCTTGGAGACAAGTTTATGTTGCTAAAGTTGCAATATGAAAATATATACTAGTATTTAGATGGCTTGGTTATTTCCCTATGATATTTGTTAATATTATATTTCAAGTGGAGGCTTTTAAATGTTTACACATATTTAGTTTGCTTTTGCTTTTTTAATGGCTGTTCGTTTTTTTTATATAGGAATAT